CAATCCTCCTCCCTGCCGCTGACTTGCGCTTCTCAGCCTCTCCATCTCTGCCCTCGTCTCGGTCTTCCCCTCCCAGCCTTCTGCCTCGGTGTCTCTCTGCCTGGCCTCCACCATGCCAAGTGATCTCCGGGTGCCCCCCGCCCACCCCCCCGCGTCTCGCTCGCTCTGAATCCCGTTAGATTAGACGCAGTCACGGATTCGCTGACCCCCCTCTTTGTTATCTGCCCGCGTCTCTGGCCTGCGCTTGCTGAGAATTTGAGTCTGGGACTGGGGCCACCATTCTGGCTAGTGGGGGGCGGGGGGGACCATCTCTCACACCCAAGTCGCCCTGAGTACGGGAAGAGTGGTCTTTCTGCTTGTTCTGGTCCTTCCTGAAGTCTTACTCGCTTCCCTCCTGCTGCAGGGACCCCACAGGCCTTCTCCTCCCCCGCTCGCTCGAGCGCACGGCTTCCCCGGGCTGGGACACCCTTTGTCCGCCCCCCCGCCCGCCCGAGCCCCCAGCTGTGGCTTCAGGAGGCAGAAAACATGAGGCTAATTAGCGTTTAGGGAACGTTTTCCTGCGAAACACATCCTTCCTCTGCCGGGCAGGCGCTAATTAGAGGAGCAGCCGGCTGGATAGGGCGGCCCCCAAGGCAGCAACAACACAGAGATGCCGAGAGAGACCCTGAGAGACAGGTGATGTGGAGACAGGGAGAGAGACACACACAGCAGAGAGGCAGGGAGACTATCTTCCTGAGGAGAGGAGACAGATTTGCTGAGAGGAGGGAGAGGGAGACGGAAAAGCAGGGAGTCTGAGATGGAGACACAGCAAGAGACACAAAAAGATGGGAGAGAGACACCCAGAGAGACATGCAGGGAGACACGCCGAGAGAGCCTTAGAGATGGGAGCAGATGGCCAGTCTGTCCCCACCCAGGGTGACCCTGTGAGTACCACTGTCCCAGAGGGTTCCCAGGCTGTCATCCAAAGCCCAGCAGATGCTCTGAGGGAGACAGACGAAGCTGTCGGCTTCTGTAAAGATGGACAATCTCAGAGATGCCTTTGGGAAGCTGGGCTCTGTCTTGTAGGGTCATGATGAGCCAGGTTAGACTTGAGGGCGGTGGGGTGTTTTTGTCTGCTCGTTTGTTTTTCTGGTTTGAACATTTTCACGGGAGTGGATTGCTAGGTCCTTTCTCCCAAGAAGCGGGTTTGAACCACCAGCCTTTCGGCCTCACCCAGTGGGTAACCAAGGTGCCTCTGGGGCCTCTTGACAGAGGACGAAGGAGAAGGGGACTGAGGGGCAGAGGTGCCCAGCGGGGAGAGGGAGAGAGAGAGAAACAGACCGGTGGGGTGAGGAATTCTGGGAGAAGCAGGGAGAGGAGCCCCTTTATGCTCAGAGAAGAGGGGTGTGTGTGTCAGTGAGAGCCGTGGAGAGTGCAGGTGCTGGAGGGCAGCAGAGTCTGGGTCTGAGCTGACTGGTGTCCCCAGGCCCTCTGGCAGGCGGAGGGGGTGGGGATTCCTGATCAAACCAGTAGGGCAGGGCGTGAACCTGACAGGATGTCAGGGCCAGAGAAGAAGCCCGCTTCTTGGGATCTCAGGAAGTCCTGCCTGTGTCTAGCTCAAGTCCCTCTTGCTGTCCTTCCCCTGCCGGCTGAGTTTCTCCCCTTCCAGGTTCTCCTGAGGGTACGCCCGTCAGGGAGTCTGTTGACGCGTGTGTCACTCACTGGGTCCCAGGGGTGTGCTTGGCGAAGGTGTGTGTGTGTGTGTGTGTGTGTGTGTCACCCCGTGAGCCTGCCACCCTGTCTGCAGCTGTCTGCCCGCGTTGGGGCTGCAAGGCGCCTGTCTCCGGAGACCCACCTCCGCGCCGCACTGGTTTAGCACCGAGGACAGCTCCGGGCCCACTCCCAGGATGGGGGTGGCCTGTTCTTGACACCCACTGAAACTTTAAAATATCCTGAGCAAGGGTGGGGGCGGGCGTGTGTCCCCACATGACCATCCCGTGTTCGCACGGGTAACACCGTGTCCCGGACGTGTCCCCACTGGCTACTGAGCCACCGCGGGGGGCGGGGGGGGGCGGATCAGCAGAGATACAGGAGGTGGCTGAACCAGAGAGTCAGAGAGACGAGGGAGAGAGACAAGCACATAGACGGCGAGGGAGCAGAAGATTGAACCCCCCCAACCGCCGGGTTCCTTAGGTAGAAACTTGGAAGGGTATACGCAGAGACGTGACCGTGCCCTTAAGGGACCCCGCTCTCAGGGAGGCTCTGCAGGGCTGGCAGTGCCACCCCGGCTGGGGCGAGGGTGCCGCGCTGCCTGCGGAGTGGCCGTGGGGTGTGGCGCTGCGAGGGCAGCGCGGTCAGCTGCGTGGGCTGGCTGTTTGCGTTACTGGGTGCCAGAGCCAGGCCTCGTGGAACCACGCGGTCCCTACACCTGGGGGACTTGCTGGTGGCGGAGCTAGTGGACATTCCGGGGGTGGGGGGCGATGGCAGGAGGTAGGGGTGGGTTGGGCCAGGCCCGGGAGACCGCAGCGCAGAGGAGTTGCCTGTCAGGCGGGAAGATGGATAACTTCTGGTCGCGCATCCCCCTGCCAGCTCCTGGTTACCATAGCAGCGGGGATGCGGAGAAAATCAATTAGCACTCCGGTTAACCCTCCCAGTGGAGATGGGACAGAGGGCAGGAAGCCGAGGGCCTCCCTGCGGAAGGGTACCAGTTGACAAATATCCATGGATGGCCTGTGATAGGCCGAGCCCTGTGCTAAAGTGCTTGGGGGAGCTGGGGCGGGTGATGGTGGGAGGGGACAGCCAAGAACATCCATAAGCAAAGATCTCTGCCTTGGTGGGAAAACTCGCCATCGAATGCAGAGAGGCAGATGGCAAACAACAGGGAACGAAGACCTTGTATTGGACTATGCGTTAGAAGAGATTGCCCGAGTAGGGGCAGTGGTTGGGCCAGGAGCGCTGGGTGGGGCGGTGGAAGCCGGACAGATTCGAGTACGGTGGTTGGAGCGGTCTTGGTGAAGAATGAAAGGAAGTGGGGGAGAGGCATCCTTAGCAGGCAGAGAGCAGCCAGTGCAAGGGTCCTGGGGCACAAGGGTCCGGTGTTGCACTGGTGAAGGGAGTGAGGGGAAAGAAGTGGGGGGACCTGGAGAGGCAGCAAGGGCCGTATTAGGGGGTGGGAGAGGCGGAGCTGGTGAAGGAGGGCAGGAGTTTGATGTCTTCTCTGGGTGAGGAGCCAGGCAAAGGTTTTGAGCCCACTGGGGGTCCCTCGGGCAGCCCTTGGAGAACAGGGCTGCAAGGGCCCAAATGTGGACGTCCTTGGCACCACAGAGCCAAACACGTGGGGGTGGGCGGCGCTAGGAGGAAACCAAAGGTTGCCAGTTCAAACCCACCAAGGTGCCTCGGAAAAAAGGCCCGTTCCTGGAGGGTCCCAGCTGTGGTTCTGCTCGGAGCAGCACAGAGCTGGCTACGAGTTGGCATCGGCCTGATGGCAGGGATGGGCGGGGGAGGGGAGGGGAGATGGTGGCTGGACAGAGTGGAGACAGAGGGGTGGTAATGAGTGTGGGAGAAAGGCTCAGACTCTGATAGCTAAAACCACACCCACTCACTGCCACCCCATAGGACAGCGTAGAACTGCCCCAGGGGGGTTTCTGAGACTGTCACTCTTGAAGGCAGTAGGCGATTCGAATTTCTCTCTCGGCTTGTTTCAAACCGCTGACCTTGTGGTTTGGCAGCCCGAGCCAAGTAACTCGTGACATCACAGGGGCTCCTTTGCAATAGACAGGTCGAAGTTCAAATCCTCTCTCAGCCTGACTCAGCTCCACGGTGCTTGGGATGATGTTGGTACACGAATAGAGCCACAGTCCCCAAACAGGCTACTGTGGGGGAGACTCTCCCCAGGGAGGAGGGAGCAGAGCTATGCTCTGGAGGGTTTTCGAAGGTTGATTTTCCAGGAGGAAGTTGCCAGGCCTTTGCTCTGAGGAACCTCCGGGTGGAACTGAACCACCCACCTTCTGGTCCGTAGCTGAGCACGTAGCTGTTGGTGCCATGCGGGGCTCCGGTGCTCAAGAAACTGGGTGTCTGATAGGAGAGTGATCTGGTGAGTTGGGGAGGGGGCCTCGTGCTGAGTATTTTCCCCCTCTTGCTCGCCCCCACCCCAGGAAAACTCTGCAGGTGAAGATAGTTGATGATGAGGAATACGAGAAGAAGGATAATTTCTTCATCGAACTGGGCCAGCCCCAGTGGTTGAAGCGAGGGATTTCAGGTGAGGGGTTTGTGTGGGCGGGCTGTGGGAGAGGCAAGAGGTCCAGGGTTGGGGGTCCCTTGGGGGCTCACTTGTGGGGACTCCTTCAAGCTCACAATCGGGGCACCCACCCCGGGAAGGATCTCACACTCTCCCTGTCTCTGTCTCTCCCCAGCTCTGCTACTCAATCAAGGTGAGTGAAGTCACATGCCCTGGGGGTTGGGGGGAGGAGCCAGCCGAGAGGGAGACTGGTGGGATCTCTAGCTGTCCTTCCAGGTTGGGTGTGATGGGGGTGGGAGATGAGGTGAGGGCTGATTGGGGCAGGGTGAGGCTTGGAGTGGAGGGTGTGACTGGTGAGAAGTTGGGGCACACAGGTAGGGGTAAAGTCAGTGTGGGGTTTCGTTTGAAGCCAAGGTTGGGGGTGGGGGTGGAAAACGAGTCATAGACTCAAGTCTGGGCTTATGATATAGGGTCAGAGGGAATCGAGTGGAGTCGAGTTTAAGAGATACCTAGGACCGTGGGGGTGGATTTAGGATGAGGATTAAGCCTACATCAAGGTTAGCGTTCAGATGGGCTTGTGGCGGGATCTGATGAGAACTGGGATTGTATTTAGATCAAAGCTGAAGTTGGGTGGTTGAGGTGAATAACAGAGTTTGTCGTTGGAAACAGGGCCACAGTCAAAGATGGAGGTAAGAGTTGGGACTCAGGTCGGGCTTGGAGAGAGAAAGCGTGTAGTTTGGAGAGGGGGTCAAGATCAGGATGGGGTTGGAATGAAGATTGTATTAGTTAGGATAAGAGATTCCTACTGCTGTAACAGCCACCCCCGACCCCCCAGGACTTAACACAACATATTTCCTGCCCAGGCAACGTTTTTATGAGAGTGCTTCTTCTTCCACGTGGTGGTTTCTTCTTCCACGTGGTCACCCCATCTTTGGCTTGCCATGCCCTGGTGTGTTGGCATCCGGAGCCTCTGCATCCCACTGCCAAGAGAGTATGGAATCTCCTATGGGATGCACTGGCTGGAAGTACCGTCCTTCACTGCCGGCCTCATTCTATTGGCCATATCTAGTCACATGGTCACACCCAACTGCAAGGAAGGCTGGGAAATGTAGTCCGGCCAAGTGCCCAAGAACAAATGGAAACAGTGCATTGGGGGGGGGGGGGCTGAATCCCACACAGTAGCTCCACTTGCATGGCCAAGCCCTTTGTTAGTGATGATACCAGGGTCGTGGGGAGATGTGGGGTCGGGGCTGCGATTGGGGGTCAGGTTTAGTTAGGGCTGGGATTACATCTGGAGTTGGAAGTTTGAGAACTTGGTGTCATTATTGGGTCTGATTACAATGAGAGTTAGAATGGGATTGGGATTTGGGGGCAGCATTGGATTAAGATTGAGAGTTGATGATATGGGGTCAGGGCTGAGGGCTGGGATGTGGACTCAGGGTTGGTGGCAGCATGACACGTGGAGTCAGGCCCAGTTTGAGAACCAGAGATCGAATCGGTATTGAGGTTGGAAAAAAGGTCAGTGGACTTTGAGTAAGTTAAAAAAAACAACCCAGAAACCTCAGCACCAGGTTTCAGGTGGCCCTGGGCTCCAGAAAAGACGTGTCCTTCCCTTTGCACCCCACCCCAGACACACTCTGGAACATTTCCACAGTGCAGGAAGCAGGCCTCCATCCTCCGGATGTTGGTGGCGATGACACTGGTGATGGTTCATAACACCTAGTGAGTGTCTGTGTATGCCAGACACTGTCCTAAGGACTTCACATGAATCAGCGCACTTAACCCTCATAAAAGGTGTGCCGTGGTGAAGCACCCGGTTGTGAACCGAAAGGTCAGCAGTTCAAACCCACCGGCCACTCCACGGGAGAACGATGCGGCAGTCTGCCCCCATAAAGATCACAGCCTTAGAAGCCCGATGGGGAGCAGTTCTACTCTGCCCTGCAAGACGCTCTTTGAATCGGGATTGACTCCATGACCGTGGTGAGGGGTGGGGGCTTCTGAATGTTTAACTCTCACGGCCTCCCCACGAGGTAGGTACTGGTATAGTTCCCATTTTACAGATGTGGCGGCTGAGGCACAGAGTGGCTAAGGCATTGCTCAAGACCACAGCCTCACTGCCTGGACCCCAGAGCACACCATCTCAGCTTTCGGGAGCACTTCATTAGGGGAGAGGGTTGGGGAGCTGGGGAGTCTGGGGAAAGGCCCCAAAGGCTCCCCCCAGAGAAGAGCAGACAAGAGTTTTCTGAAGGGGAACAGGGCGTGAGAGAATCACGGGCCCAGTGAGTTCTCTCGGGAGTCTGACTACCATCCCTCACGCTGCAGGGGAGGATGGGGACCGGAAGCTGACGGCTGAGGAGGAGGAGGCGCGGAGGATCGCGGAGATGGGCAAGCCGGTGCTTGGGGAAAACTGCCGACTGGAGGTTATCATCGAGGAGTCCTATGATTTTAAGGTGACTTTTTTTAGGGGTGGGGTGGGGTGGAAGCAGCACTTTCCCGGAGTTGTTTCCTCTGGGAGGATCCTGGAGGGGAGCAAGGGCGAGGAAACCAGGGGCCTGAGGACAGACAACCCTCAGCTCGCTGTCAGCACCACGGACAGCGCACTCCTTTGTCCTTGATAGGGCCCCCTGGTGGCTGGTGGGTGAACTCGCCACGCAGTGCTGCGGAAGAAAGGCCTGGCCACCTGCGCCACACAGATCCCGCTGGAGCGTGTCTGCGCAGTCACCCCGGGCTCTCCGTGGGTGGGAACCGGAGGGTCAGGCTTGGTGTTGAGCAGACTCTGGGGTGTGGAAGAGTGAAGACCTCTGAGGATGGGGTCTGAACCTCCAAACCAGCAGCCATTGTGAAGCTTCCCTGGGGGGGCTTTACGGGGGCCAAGGGAGGTCCACCCTCACTGCTCTCTCCCCCTTGGCTCACCCCTAGAACACGGTGGATAAACTCATCAAGAAGACAAACTTGGCTTTGGTGATTGGGACCCATTCGTGGCGGGAGCAGTTTTTAGAGGCAATTACGGTGAGCGCAGGTAAGTGGGGAGGGAGGAGAGAGGATGATGGAGAGACAGAGGGGTGGGGAGGGAGGGAGAGAGGGAGAGACCCCTAAAGGGGGATGGGCAAAGAAGGGAAGAGAAAGCATTGAAGATGTGGAAAGAGTGAGCAGGAGGCCAGGACATAGATCATCAAAGAGATGGAACGAGGGAGGGAGGGAGGGAGAGAGACTATTTTAGAGAGGAAAGGGAAAATAAGGAAAAAGCAGGAAAGACATAGGAGAAGATGAATAAATAATAAAGTAAAAGACACAGAAGATCGTGAACGAGTGAGCAGGAGGTGAGGAGACAGATCATCGGAGACAGGTGGAGGGAGAGAGTGCAAGCTCTCCAAGGGGAAGGGGAGGAAGAGTGGGGAAGAACTGAAGCAGGTGAAGAGCAGGGAGCCAGGAGACAGATAATCAGATAGGGGCACACACACACACACATACACACACACATGAACAGCCAGGCAGAGAGAACAGGAGAGAAACCAGGCAGAGAAAGAGGGGGTGGTGGGGAGACTAGAATTCCAGAGAGGAGGGGGACAGGGCAGACAGACCGGCACAAAGAAACAGGCAGAGAGAGAGAGAGGGGAGAAATTTTCTGCATGTTTGTTTGCATGTTTGGTTTGGTTTTTGCATGTTAGAGTGTGTCTCAGAGGTGTCA